TGCTGCCACTTTTGCTGTCATCTGTGCGCGGTCATACGCAGGGAATTACTTCTCTTCAAATCATTTCTAGCGCGCGAGTAATAGTCAGGTATATACAATTATTATAAATAAAGGTTTTGATACAGGCTCATTCCTTCACTAAAATATTTAAATAAATGATAGCGGTAGCGCAGATCGCACAGTACGTTTATGGAGTTATGGAGGTCGTTATATATCAACACTGGGCACGTTTAGAGATTGGATCCCGATTCTGCCAACTGTGCCCGTGCAAAAATATTTTGAGGATTACAAACTTCCAGCAGACATTATTAGGGGATTTGCCAGTTCTACCACTTTGAAGGTAAATTTGAAAAAATATATACGGGAACGGGTAAATATCTAGAAAAGGGGAGTCGCCTCCATGACCTTGACCTTGAGTTATGTTGTCAAGGTCATGATCCTAAGTGGCCTCCAACAGGTTTTAGATGGCAGTCGCTGTTCGTTAAAAAGTTATAAACAAAAAAAATTTAAGAAATAACATCACATTTCTGCATGATGCACGACTTCCACGAGTTTAAAGTATATTTTATTTTCCACGCGAAGCGACCCCACCCCAACTCCTTCCCTGCTTGAAATTGCTTCACGTGGAAATCATGCGCCTCCAAGTAGGGGGGGAGGTGGGGTGGAAGTCGCTTCACGTGGAAAGTAAAATATACTTTAAAGCAGAAAATTTCTGTTTCATATAGTAGAAAGGAAACATTTTTCAAACTTTTTTTGTTAATAACTTTTTAACAAAAAACAACAACCGCCACCTGAAACCTGTTAGAGGTTACTCAGGATCATGACCTTGACAACATATATCAAGGTCATTGGAGGTGACTTCCCTTTTCTAGATATTTACCTAAGAATGCAATGTATACATTTGGGATGATGCAAAGGTACTTCACGGTGGTATGAGACGATTGCCGATAGAGATCGAGAAAAAAGAAATAGAAATCTCAAAAGAAACTCTCGAAGAAGAGCGACATATGTTGTATGGGAAGGAATTAGACAGTCTTGTGCTCAAGACATATTATGAATCACAATTGCCTGAAAACACCTACCAGAAATATCTGCAATTAGACAATACCTTGCCATATGTGAGTATATACATATACATACTTTATATATACTAAAATATATATTTTGTAAGATTCATTATATGTTGTTATATAATAGCGGATTCGGTTGGACGCACTAATGTATATTAATGCCGTTGTACACTGATTTAATCTGTGTAAAATGCAAATATTTCGAATTATAAAATACAGGCTTTACTTAACAGCATAATAAAATGTATTGAGGATTTCATTGTTTAATTCATTTTTATATTTATATTGAACACACATTTTTACATAAATATGTGTACGATGGCTTTAATTTGCATGAGTGCGAACTGAGTGCACCAATCGAATTTGCTGTAATGCAATTTCAACTTGTAGAAATTTTATATTTGTAGATACCAATTTACACGTATTTACCAACCTACTCTTTAAAACCTGTAAAGGCGCAGAAAGCACTCCTCCTTGGACAGAAAATAGAACGTATGGATTTTTATTTTTATTTAAAATCATTGAAAAGATATCACGTAGAGTGTTCGTCGAATACTTTGATATATATATTTTTAAAATATTTATAATTACAGTAAAAAGGTATATTTAAGAAGAACAATGAAACTACTGTGCTCTTCTGTAATACAAAGAGACAAAGGCACTTCCACAAGATGAAATCTACCGCAATGTTTTTCATCATTTGAACCTTATAAACTCTCGCAAAATGTTAGTATATATATTAGAACAGTACATATTTTACACATTGTATAAATTAAAATAAGAATTAATTTACTCAAATTAGTAAAACTCATATTCATAACAATTATTTATATATTTATCTAATTATTTACTAACTAAATCAATTATCTAATTATATATAGGCTTTACTTCCTCTTCAGCAAATATGTGATGAAATATAAATAAGTAAAAAAAAATTAAACATTGTCAAGTCATGAAGATGTCTACGTACATACATCATCATTCTATGAATATTGGGATATAACAATGAACAACGCAACTTCGTGTTTGTTGAATTAAAACAATTTGCCTTAAACATTATTACATTTCACATGCATACAATATCATACTTAATGCCTCTGATTATATCCACACTTAAGTATTTTTGTGTGATATTAATTTTTTAAAGGCAATTTTCATTCGACAAACTCGGGTTTCATCATGGAAATACGCGGTGGCGTTTTCCAGATTGCACTGGATGTACGCTTCAATCGATTTCTATCTATACCATGGAATAATTCAGTCAAATCTGGCGTGCACTTACGAGTACCGAAGAATTTAAAAATTATATCTTGATCAATGTATTGTTGCATCGCGAGTTGTGCTTTGCGGATGTGCGCTGCAATTAAAAAAAAACCGTATATTCACATTCTTTTCTTCTTACTGTAATGATGATTTAAGATATAAAGAAAGTATACGTACCCTGCGCCCAATACGGTATCTCATGCTTCGGTTTGCTTTCATCATCTGATTCATCATCATCAGGTTCACTATCTAACACGTAATTCACAGTACCTTGGTACTTATTATTAGTCTGTTGTTTATGCTGTAAAAAAATCAAGTAAGCGATTTATCAGTTTTGAGCGAAAGTAGGATTTAAGTAATTTTTTCTCCAACATAAAAGATAACTCACTTTAGCTTGGGCCGCAAGTAACTGATTTTTCTGTTTCAAAGCTTCGGCAGCAGCTTGTTGGGCCCTTGCTTCCGCTTCTCTACGTCTTTCAGCTTCTTGCTCTCGACGTCTTTGCTCGGCCAACAAACGTTCCGTTTCCTCTTGTTCTTGTAACCTCTGCAATCTCTGTTGCTCTTCCAATTTGCGACGTTCTTCCTTCTCCTGCATTCGTTGCAATTGGGCAAGACGCTTCTTCTCCGCTTCCTCGCGATGCTTTTCTTGAATCAAATGAGCTAATTTTGCCTTCTCTTCCCTTTCTTTCTCGGCTTTCTGCCGTTTCTCTAATTCTTGCTTCTCCTTAGCTTCTCTTGCTAATTTGTTCTTGAGTTCCTTCTCTTGCCGCTTCCTGTATATATATATATATACACAAAGTATATATTGAGATATTGTACTGCTTGCACATTTTTTGATTAGCATTATAAAATTTTTGTATACCTTTTCTTCTCCTCCGTCTGTAATCTCAAAGCTTCGTCTTTCTTTTTTCTCGCATCCTCCTCGTGGCGTCTCTTTTCCTCTAACTTTTCTACCGAATTGGAAGTTGTAATAGTTTTCGATGGTTGAATGAAAGACTCCATGCCAATAACGATATTGGCGCGCGAGGCGGTTAAAACTTTTGGATACTAAAATAAAAGTATGTAAATAAATAAATATCACATAGTGCGATTTAGGAAAGATAAAATTTTGTATTAATCTTACGTTCGAAAGATTTGGCGTGTTTGAAGAGATAGGAAGACGATTAAGAGACAGTGTAGGCTGCATCAATTTTGTCTTGTTTAAAGGTGTCGTTTTTAATTGTTGCATTTTTACATTTGGTTTATCAGTTTGGGTCAGTAATTTATTAATTCGTTCTGGCAGTTGTTCTTTGTTCTGAAAGAGGAAGTTTAATTTGTTGTTAATAAAAATATAGCAATAAAAGAAAATAAAAGAGATTAAAATAATTATAAAGCATAAATAATCACAGATTCTTTTACCTCTTTAAATTCATCATTGTTTTTCTGTTTCGCTAATGAGATCTTCTTAGCTTTAGCGAGCGACTTACGAGCTAATATTTGCGCAACATTTCTCTCCGTTGTTTTCGTTTCTGCTTGCATTTCCGCAGTGGCCATTGCACGAGTTTTTGTTCTAGTTATTCTGGTTGGAGCATCTATGTCAACAGACTTTGGGCTATGCATAACCGCTTGTTCAAATGCTTCAACTCGTTTCTTCACAGATTCTTTTGCATAAGGACTAAATAAGGCATTCGATTTATATGTTTTACTTTCTTGTGTGACCGTGGACACATTTGTGTTTTTGACGGTTTTCACTGGTGTATTAGGGATTTCATCCTCGCTAGATATCGCTAACATACCTTTTGTCCCTTTTTTATTAGTCTGCTTCCTATTAAGTTGCTTCCTTGGTTTTTTCACTTCAGGCGATGATTCATCGTCTGTAATTAATACATTATAATCATCGTATTGTGCAGGTGTTTTGCATGGTTGTGTATTGTTTGGCAGTGCGTTCTTAGTATTTTTTGTTTCTTTCAAACTACTACTATTTTTTATGTTCATTGCCTTTTGAATCACTACTGTTTCATTTAATTTTGGTAAACGCTCTAAAATCACAGTAGCATTCAATCTCTTTTCGGACATACACAGACTATACTTTAGAGTTGAATTCATAATTGGAACAGGCCTTCCAACCGCATCTTCGTACATAGATGGTTCTTCGATATCATCTATACTAGGTACAACAATGGCATCATTGACTTTATTCATTTCCCTATTCTGAGAATTCTTAGAGCTTCTTCACTCTATCAGTCATTTTTGATTTTTCAATTGGAGGCTGAATGATCTGTTTAGAGTTCTTCCTTGTCACTCTTTTTGTGGTTCCATTTATCTCAGTTATATTTTCTTCGACTTTGCTGTACTTAGAAACACTCTCGTTTTCTTCATCAGAACTGCTTATGTTGTATTTCTTCCTTTTAATGTGGCTTTCTCCCTTTATCTAATATTCATAAAATCATATATTATATAATAATCTGTAACTTATAATCAACTTGTAATACTATAAGTATGATATTGAAAACTATCATTACTTACTTTCTTTTCAGAATTATTCAGAATGAAGCTTTGTTTCTTGATATTATCCTCTGCTTTTTTGGATGCTCCTCTCTTGGTTCTACCTCCAATTTCATTTTCCTTTTGCTCCTCTTCATTGATAGAATAAAGGGAACTAGTTGGCGAGATGTTTGCTTGTTGAAACACTTCATCCTCGAGTATGGTTTCGATACGCTGGACCGTCTTCTTTCGCAGCATCTTCGGCGTTTTTGCCACAAGCGGACCGGATGATGGTTGTGACAAATGCGCGAACAGCTCATGCACATAGGATACATTGTCTGCAAGAGTCTCGGCAAGACGACTCGACAGTTCAACACGATGATTGTGAATAAACAGCAGATCTTTGCGAATAATATCTCGGATCTCGTCCTTCGACCGGGCATTCATGGCGCTGGAGAAGATTCGTTCTTGTACGTCAATCTCCGCTCTCCGCGGTAGACACGCGACTCGCAAGTGCCAGTTTAACTTAATTTCTATCTAGGCAATACAAATCTCAGTAACATTACGACATTGCCGCGGAATAGTAGCACTAACAGCAACAAAAATAATAATAATAGTAAAAATAATCACACGACACAAAACTATAAGATTCGGATGAATTACCGAGCGCTGGTTGCTCTTTGGCGGGCACATCGATAATCGAAATGAATCATAATCTCCATCCCCTGCTAACCCCAGCCAGTCGCCACAAGGATAACGACTTTTTCCGTTTAATTTGAATCGAGACATTGGCGACATCTGTAACCGCCATTGATTTCGTCTGCGTTCACGAGTACACCATTGTCGCTACTATCGCCTAGAATCCCTAGAAAAACAGTCTGATCATCAGTCCTGTTTTCGATTGGCTCATGTTAGGACCGCTGTATATATGCCTTTGACTATTATGTACATACAACTGGACTGCTAGACCACAATATAAGGACCATACAGTAGGATCAAACAGTGTCGGCACCTTTGATCTTTCTCAGACGCATCATCAGACTGCACTAGAAATCCTATTGGCTCCGCCATTAAATCGAGAGGTTAGTACCGTATTAATAGTATTAGGGACCATCGTCATTAGTAAATTTTTTTGCTTATATTACGAAAATAATTACAAGTTTCCGAATAATAAATCAAAGGAATATATTGAATTAGTGAAATGACTGTATATAATATTAAAAATACTTTAATTATACTAATATAAAAATATTTTAATTATACTAATATAAAACAGACAAGTAATTCAATGACATAAGAGCATTAATAGCAAGTAAACATTACTGTACATAATCACAAATAACAAGTTATGTCAAAGTACAACTTGAGTCATAAGTTAATAATCATGCACAATTGTCACATGCAATAAAAGAATTAAACAAAAACATTTATCAAACTATAAAACACTTATACACAAAGACAAGAAACCAACTGTAATAAGATTTCAATAAATATAACATATAAAGCAAAGAAATGCTATACAAAGTAATAACTAAGTTGAATTAA